AGTGGGTCTCATGGGGCTGGAGCATCCCCCTGCCTGTGGCAGTTGGGGAGCTACTCCAGTCCCTACACAATAACTGGAACCAGTAAGTCATCCATTAACTTCAGAGCATGTGAGCCCGCTGCAAAGGCTGCAGTGGGCCTCATGGGGCTGGAGCATCCCCCTGCCTGTGGCAGTTGGGGAGCTACTCCAGTCCCTACACAATAACTGGAACCAGTAAGTATCATCCATTAAGGGTGATGGTTACTGGTTAACCTTTCACATCCCTCGTTTCTTATCTCCTACCAAGAGTGTTGCAAATATGTGGGGACACTCTGTTGCGTATCACTGGTTTGTAGAGCAGGGTTGCAATAACGAAACATAACCCTGATCCTACACTGTGCAGGGCTAGAGGGTTGCACACGGTGTTCTAAGAGTAAATCAGAAGTCTCCTGAGTTAATTAAAGCTGATGTCCGTATTGTATTTGGCAGCCACGCTTCTGTGCTTTTTATCTGTACTTTCCCTAAAGAGTGCCTGATCTATAGATAACAGCAACTCCTCTTCTTCCTTTTAGTTTCCCTAACAAAAACCCCAAAGAAAGGCTTAGAAGTCAAACAGAGCTTAATAGAAGAGGTAAGTAAGAGCATATATCTTAAGGTACTGCGCTTAGTTTTCCATTCTGTATTGGAGAAAACCATATATATGCCCTTTCCCTCCTATAGAATCTCTTCCTGTGAGGATCTTAATGTATTTTACACAGACTAAGTCTCACAGTATGCTTTACGGATGTGAGGAAACTGATGCACACAGAGGCAATTTGACTAGACTCCAGCAACAGAAAAGAAAGTTTGAGAATGGTCCACTGTTGCCAGATAAATTCATTATTAATCTGATTCTTTTTTAAAAGTTATACTGCATATAACAAAACTACTTCACAATTTAAGCTGTGCGCTAGGAGGGTCATAAAATTGACCAATTACATTATAGAAGTTTCTCAGTCTATTCGTGTATTGGCTTCTACCAGAGTCAGGATGTTGCATGAATTGTGCAGAGCCGTTTGGCAACTCCTGTATTTGTATCATAATATATAACATTTATTTTAATGTAAAAGACATTGAGTTTTTCAGTTCATTAGTTAAAATGGAGAATCTCATATCAAATATCTATAGTTGTTAGTTCCATAGAGGTGTAGATGTTGCCATGAATAGAATTTTTGAACAACCTTTCGCTCCTTCTGTGCTTAAGCTGTTGCTGAAACTCATTGGTATGCAATAGGGATTTCGCTGATGTTTATTATAGCTTCTCACCATCATGTTTTTCTGCAGTTGCGGAAATGTGTGGACACCTACAAATACCTCTTTATCTTCTCTGTTGCCAATATGAGAAACAACAAGCTGAAAGATATCAGAAATGCCTGGAAACACAGCAGGTGAGTAGTTGTCTCCGTGATCACATCCTCTTATGGCTACTAATGATGAGCATTATGTTATAGGTGTACATATACCTCAGATTACTGTACTTACTTTTGTGCGGGGAATGTAAGCTGCTAGAAGAGGCCTATTAATTTTTTTCTCTTCCATCATGCAAGAGTATAGTTTCCTGGAAGTAGCAAGGGAACGGCTGTGATTCCCAGATTCAGAACATGTCTTCCTCCCTGATTCAACTCTGCAGATGCAGAGACCAATATGATGGATTCTTTTTTTTCCCCCAATAGGATTTTCTTTGGAAAAAACAAAGTGATGATGGTGGCATTGGGACGAGGGCCAGCTGATGAGTACAAGGAGAACTTACACCAGGTATGTTCTTATGTTCATAGCTTTTTGCATGTTTTGAAGCAAATGTGATTTACAGAAAATAATGTTCATAGCTTTTTGCATGTTTTGAAGCAAATGTTATTTTCTGTAAATCACAAGAAAATAAAAGAATTGCTTTAGAGAGCCAGAACGGATCAATGCTCTTCCATCTGCAGCTGACATAGATTGTCAGCTCTTTGGGGCATGGGCCTCTTTATGCGCTGCACAAATGGGCCCTGGTCTACAACTAGGACTTCTAAGCACTACCAGAGGGATGATAATAAAAGCCAGCCTATCACTGATATGTAGCCCTTTTGGCAAGTTGCCTTTGACAACAGTCTATTTCCAGTGTGTGCAGCCTTTTGACTCAAAGTGTTGGTTAGCTTCACATCAACATAGCTTTGTTCATTGTAGGTTCTTCCACTACAATAAGAAATTTCTACTTTTAATCAGTTCACAGGGTAAATCACTGTGCTTTGCTCATAAGATCCCTATTTGGGGGTGTTCCTTGATGGCATTGTAACCCTTTTTGTAGATACAAGTCATGCCCCTTGTCCATGCATTCTTGCTGTGGAGGCAGAATTGTTGGGAGAGCTAGAAGAATCTCTACCACTGGAGTCTTCAAATCTTTTTAGCCTCTCACTGAAATAGGACTGAAGCCAGTGTGTAAATAGTATGAACTCATCCATCCAATCTTTAAAAATCATTTGGAGCCTCAACTTATGGAATTCTTCCTACAGTTGGAAAAACTGATCTCTGATGCTAAAAGCCTCCACAGGAGTCCAAATATTATGTTTAACTCATTTTTCTTCTTCAGTAATTCTAGATCCTTCTGATTTTTTTTTTCAAATGGGATTTCTTTCCTTGCCAAACTGATTATGTTTAACTCATTTTTCTTCTTCACTAATTCTAGATCCTTTCAAATGGGATTTCTCTTTCCTTGCCAAACTTCTGAGAATCTTGCTCTTAACTCTTAGGTCCCAATAACTCACATTATGGGAGGAGGGAAAGAATATAACCTCCTTTCTCCAAATTTACACCTGGCATGTCCTCTCAAGCTACTGCTTCACTCAGCCATGCAATAATGTCACATCAGGAGGAAAAGTCTCCTGAGATAGATTTGCCATCTACACCCTGTCCTTAATTTAGTCCTCACAGCATCAAAGGGCTGCAAGAAACATTGGGGCTGATTAATCAATATCTGCAGATCTAAGGGCTGAGTCCTCTAACCCTCTTATTGTTTGGGGGCTTCAGCACAGTGCAGGATCAGTGCACTGCTGAATTCCATGTGCTGCTTATTTTCCAGGTCAGCAAACACCTAAGAGGTGAAGTTGGTCTCCTGTTTACCAATCGCACCAAAGATGAAGTGAATGAGTAAGTATCTGTGGGGGTAAAAAAGGGGCTTCAGTCTAATGGCACACTTGCTGCCAGTCTTGCAGCATGGCCGAGAGAGCTACAGTTCAAACTGAGTCTCTTCTTCCTTATTGAAACAGAAGCCACTATTGGCAGGAATTTTCTTGCTTTCCTAGATGCTGGTCTTGACAGGTTCCGCTTAAAATGCTTCTACGTCTGCCTTGCTTTGTAGTTGTGATGGGAAAGGCTCAGAGTAGAAAAAGTAGGTGGAAGTTGCAGAAGGCTGTGCTGTGGTTGAATGGGGAAGTGCTGCACACTGACTCACATGGCTTCTTTCTTGGAGAGAGATTAATAAAAATAACATCTAATGCCACACGATGAGCAAATGTTTAAGCAGTCCCCGACCGACCACCTCACAAACATAACTGACTGAACTCTTCCTTTCCTAAATCTCAAGCTCTAACGTAATGTGCACATACCTGGGAAGTTAGCGGGGGTCAAACAGCTGCAAAGCTTGAAGAGGTCCCCAAGAATTACCCCTACACACACTCAAGCAACTATGCACATGAACAAATCACCTTCTGGTATAGCCAGCCTAAGCAGGAGAGAAAATGTAGAAGCAATAGGACAGCTCTTGATAAGTTGCTCTGTTTGTTCTGCAGACTCAGACTTAATAGAAGAATTTTGCTGCTGGAGTAGGGGGTGAAGATAGTTGTAAATCTAGGTTGGAAAGGATGAATTTCTTTAATAAAGTAGTAGGAAAAAATACAACTCTGCGTACTTGTAAAGCTTATCTATCAACAGAACATAAACAGTCTTAATCGCTCTCTCTTCTCCCATCCTTCGCAAGACTTCCTCCTCTCTTGGGGGGGATATCAACAGAACATAAACAGTCTTAATCGCTGTCTCTTCTCCCATCCTCCCCAAGACTTCCTCCTCTCTTCGGGGGGGAAAAAAGTTAGGCTTTCCATAAGCTGCCACAGTGCATTAAATTCACTGAGGACTGCATTATATTACTGCTGGTCAGCTTGACATGGAAGATGTTTAGATACTGCAGTGATGGGCAGTAGTACAGAATCCTTAGAATGATGCTGATTTCACAAGTTCTGAACCTTTTGGGTGGGAGGAGCATTCCAAGGCTGGCCCATCCCAAGTGAGGTTAATTCTACAGCTGAAGGCTTCTTAAATAAGCAGTGCTCTTGTTTCCTGCCTCCTCTCCCAGATGGTTCTCTCAGTTCAAAGAGATGGACTTTGCCCGTGCAGGTAACAAAGCAACTTTCACAGTGAGCCTGGACACAGGGCCCCTGGAGCAGTTTCCCCACTCCATGGAGCCTCAATTACGCCAGCTGGGATTGCCAACAACTTTGAAGAAAGGTATGTGAGCTGGCTGGGGCATGAGATTGTAATTCCCCCTCTGCCACTAAAATTCGTCCAGACCTACTGGCTTTTATTTAATAGATGTTGGTAGCATTGTGACCAGTATATATGGAGAGAGCCTGGCAGGGAGAGCGTAGATGATAAACAGAAGATCGTATATGTTTAGCAGGGAACATCTAATACGAAAAATCCTTCCTCCTCCTCTTCCTGCAGTTAGCACAGACTTTTTTTTTTTTTAAATTCTATATTACAAAATTCTTGTCTCTAAGCTGGTCTGGATAAGCCAAGCACCTGACAATAACTCCATTTTCAGGATCTTATTTTTTCAAATTAAGCAGCTGGTAACAGCTGGGTTTGACCTACAGGTCACAAGGATTTGTCGGAAAAGGTGGTTTATTATTTCGTTACATGTCTTGAGAGCCACTGATCCTCATGTGAAAGGTCCTGTTTCCCTCTTCTCCCTTTGACAGAAATAGTCTGAATTAATAACTGCCTGAAAATGAGGGAACCATGGGAACTCAGCATTTGAGAGGGGAAAGGTGTGAAGCAAGCACCTGCTAAGAGATTGAAACAAAAGACAGAACTATGTAGCACTTTAAAGACTAACAAGGTGGTTTGTTAGTCTGGTGTAGCTGAAACAAAAGAGAACTATGTAGCACTTTAAAGACTAACACGACTGCATCTCTATCACTATGCTAAGAGATTGATCATTGAAGTGGGTTTACACTGCATGTCGTTTTCAACCACCAATGCACGCCTTACATTAGGTTTCCTCACAGAACTGGCTGAATTTTAGCATAAAGATTTATAATTGAGACAACTGTTGAGCCCTAGTAAGAACTGTCCCACTGAAACCTGCTGGTTTGAAGCTTAATTACTCTACGCAGCCAGCAATAGAGAACCAGGCTGGAAACTCTGATTACCACAACAGTTCTAGTGTGCCACCACTTCACGTAGTATTCTTCTCCCTGATTCAATCCCACCTTTTCCCTGCCTGTTCCTGCAGGAGTGGTGACGCTGCTTTCAGATTATGAAGTTTGCAAGGAAGGAGATGTACTGACACCTGAACAGGCTCGTGTCTTGGTGAGTAACATAATAGTAACAGAGTTACCCAGCTGTGGTTCAGCTGCAGCAAGTATTTCAATCCACTAGTGAGATGGATGGATGGTTCATGAAATCAAAAAAATCAGTGCGACCCTAAATTTAATTCAGTTTGAGATTTGTGCTGAAATCACATTACTTCCATATTGGGTTTTAGCCATAATTCATAGCTGCTGTTCCTTCAGAGCTGTTTTAGCTGCTGGGAATTAACAGCTAGCTGGAAGAATAGTAAGCCCAAGGGGCAATTGAAGGAGCTGATCACTTAAGAAATACCCTGTGCAGTGACAGGTATTGCTTACCTATAAGAACAGATGGATAAATGACCAGGCTGCTGGATAAGTGAGACCGGGGCATTGCTCAAACAAGTAAAGGCCTTGCATGCTGAGACTTGAATCCTACTTGGCATTCTAGTTTCATACTGTGAATTTTGAAACCAGTCGTAAAATCAAAGCTGCCGGAGAGGGGTGTAAACTGAGAAAGGGATCATCTAATCCACCTTGAAGAGAACAGTCTGCATCGAGAGTTTTGTGCTTTCGGTCTAGCTCAAGTTGGATAACTTTTCCCTATATTCAAATGCACCCTGTGATCCTTGCCTTACCCACATCCCCAGTTTTAAACTAGACATGACAAAAGAGGTTACTTAATGTGAGAGCAAGACTTGCCACAAGAGGACTAGCAATGTGAATGACAAGTTCCTGTCTCCCTTTCAGAAACTCTTTGGCTATGAGATGGCAGAGTTTAAAGTGACCATCAAGTGTTTGTGGCATTCTGAGACGGGAGACTTCCAGCAGCTGGTGACAGACACAAAGGAAGCCTGTGAGATGGAGGAGGAGGAGGAAGACAACAGTGAAAATGATGACTAACTGAAAGACCTGTGATAGGACATGAGACACTTTTTTTCTATTTCAGAATAGTCCGTGGCTCCTCACGCTCAGCTGCAGCAGGAGAAAGTTGATCAACGAACAGACTTGCTATTTATCAGAGATGATGGTTTATATATAAAATTAAGTAGAAAGTTTGGATCTTGCCTGTGCAGCCTCTTTCCTGTTTAGGAATCCCTGGGACAGGAAAAATATGCAGAACCTGAGAATAAGCTAATGGTTTCATTAAGTAAAAACTTTTCCATGATGTATCTGTTGTTCAGATTTGAGCAGATCTACTTCCTCACCCCATAATCCTTCCTCTCTACAGAAAACAGCTTTAGAACTGCTCACTTTGCATTAGAAATGATAGTTAGATGGAGAGAAGTTGCTTTTAAACAGTTGCTCTCTGTAGGAGACTGTGTTTCTTTGAGAGCAGATGCTAACTAAACTACAATTGAAGCCCAAGGACAAAGTGTAGTGACTAAGCTGGTTTCCCTCATCCATGTTTAAGTTCCTTCGGTCTTCACCAAGCCTGTTTAACGGTGCATTATCAGAACTATTGTAGCTTCCCTCAGGCATGGTATTTCTTACTGTAGAATAGAAATAGGGCAGCAGTTTTCAACTTTTTTTTTTCAATTTGCAGGCCCCCTACAAAATTTCAAATCTGGGTGCAGATCTCTTTGGAAAACTCAGTCTACAGACCACAGATTGTCAATCTGTTGCAGCCCATAGGTTGAAAACCACTGGTAAAGAAGAATTATATCTTCACTCCATGAGCCAGCTTAGAATATATGTGATTTTTCTTTTACTGGTTCTTGGCCAAGCACATCCAAAGCTTTGAGGGAATGAGTGTTTTTTTTTTTTGATAGGGGAAAGAATCCTAAAAGGTATACATTAATGTTTATGTAACTCAGTAGAGCTGCTGTTGAAAGGCAAGTGAAGATTCTATGTGTACATTACTCAATCTCCAAAAACAGGCAAAATCCAGTAATTAAGAATTTAGGAAGCTGAACTAATGTTGCAACTACATGATCAAGACAGAAGGGGGCTCTCTGCTGGTAAAGCTGTCACATGACCAGTTGCAAGTACCAGAGGCAGGAATTACAAGAGTTAAGGTTTGAACCACAACTTTAGGTTTCACACTGCCTATTGAAAATTCCACCAGAGAGCAGGTGAGAGTTACCAACACCCCAGGACTGTCCTGGAGTCTCTAGGAGTCAAAGATTTAATCTTCCATTAGATTGTCATGTGATGAAGCTTCCAGAAATATATCCAACCAAAATTGGCAACCCTACGCAGGACTGGTCTTGTGTATGATGTTCATTGTCCAGATGGGTTGTCTTCAACAGAACTGAGGAAGTTATCTAACAAGACAGGAGTAAACGCAGTGCTATTTAAAGGTCAGGATACTGCCTATGCCAGAGCCAACAAAACATTACAATTTTTCCTGCAGTTTTGCTATTTAAAGAACATGTTTTAGGAAGCCTGCTCCTGGACTGAAATTCTGCTGGCCTAAGACAGTTTCAGAAAGCCTAGTATGCACTTTGATGTTGGTCTTATTTTCACAGCTGCTGCCTTGGAAATAGCATTTAAGTAACATCTAAAGTCTCTTCCGGAGGGAACAGCTCAAGCAAAACTGGAACCTGCCCCTTTCCTAAAATGAACTCCATTGCTTTAAGCACAGCCACTTGTGACTGCTACTGTAACTGGGTTTGGCTGTTATTAAAACAGCTTGCCCCAGATAGGGATATAAGGGTGTGTCTAGACTACAGGGTTTTGTTGACAGATACTGTCGACAAAGCTTCTTTCGACAAAGAGCGTCTAGACTACATCCAGTTCTGTCGACAAAGCAAACCGCTTTGTCGACATAATAGTGTGGACACAAAGGACAGTGTAGATGCAATAATGCCTTCTATCGACAGAACTCTGTTGACAAAAGGTGTTATTCCTCGTAGAATGAGGTTTACATACGTCGACAAAACTGAGTTTTGTTGACGTTATGTCAACATAACTCAAAGGCAGTGTGGATGCAGGTATAGTTTTGTCAACAAAACCCTGTAGTCTCCGATAAGCATAAGCTTATCAGATAGTCGAGTAACGACTAGTCACTCTCCTCTCCCTTCCCTCCTCCTCCCCCCCCATGCTAGGGGGAACCAGCTTAAAAGCCAGGTCCACCTAGCATCATCTCCAGCTCACACCGGTTCCAACTGCTGTGTTTCTGCTTTTGAAATGTAGCAAAAGTCCCCCATTGCTCTTCTGCCTTTTAAATGTTATTGTACTGGAATTCTCGCTGAACCCTCATTGTCACTTTGCGGAACCCGTGTTCCACGGAACACCATTTGGGAAACACTGGAGTAGTCAATTGAAATTCCGTCGATTAGCTGATGAATTGAAATGTAATGCCACTAGCTCCAGAAATTCAAAACAAAACCCAAAATGCAATTAACTAGGCACGGCTTGAGATGCAAAATGCTTTATTCTCACAGTGAAGACTCTCTACAGATTGAAGCCAGAAAACTACATTCCCCCTTGGAGACTTCAACTGGCCAAACCAGAGCCAGTTCCTTCTACAAATTACGCCACTGACTCACAACACTATTTTGTGCGCTCAGGTGAAAATAGGAGCTGCCCGATTGAGGGATGTTTTCGTAGCAATTTTGGCCTTTTCTTAAACCTACAAGCAAAATACTTGATGGCTTAGACACCATGTGCACCAATCAAAGTCAGCATAGAAACAGTGAGCTTCAGCTCTAGTGCGAGGAAACCCCACGGTGGCACCAATGCATTCGCTACCTGGAACCCTGGTCCGAGGACAACAAATCTAAAGCTTCCAGAGGGGTGAGGCAGTCTTAGGTGTGAGATACTTCGTTACCATCCCCATTATACTCCCATTTTCTAGCGGAAGTAGTTGGGACAGTCATGTGCCACTAGGTTCCAGGCTTTGTCAAATGCTTCCACCACAGCTGGGAGCAGAGGGCCCTCTTCACTGCACGTGAGGTTCTGCAGCAGCTGATCCATGTTGGATATCCCAATGATCACCGCATCTCCAAGGGCACCCTGCAGTGGAAAGGAAGGAGTTACCTTATAGGAACAGCAACCTGCCTCATCTTGGAACAGATTTCAGCTCTTTTTGTCTTGCCGCCGAACGTTGCTCTTTGGCAACTACTCCATAGTTGGAGAAAGGAGTCCTTTTGATTCAGTCCTGTTAACAAGGCCAGGCCGCAGTGTACCGTCACTGTCCCCGTCCCCAAGTCTTGCCAACACCGCAAAGGCTGCCAATTCATGGTGTGTGTGTGGGGGGAGGGGGCCAGGGGATGTTTTGGGAGGAGGAGGACGACATAGAACTATTGATTTTTCTGGCCATATGAAAAGCCAGTTTATCACCTCCTGAGGAAGTCGCTGACTGAGAGAAGTCCAAACTAGAGCACCTAGCATTTAGCATCTTCCACTTTCCCTCAAGTCATAGAGACAAGATGCAGGGGAAGTGCAGAGTTGATCCACTCCCATACCCCTGCTGTGTGCAACAGCCTGGCATTGCAAGACCAGAGCAATGTTCCAAAGAGGACAGAGCCATAGACTGTTAAGTGGTGTAAAAGGTAACACAGCTATTTTGCTGTTGTACTGCAGTTGGAAAAGTCAAAGATCTTCAGCTGCAGGAGATACAGTTCTGTTGCACATATCAACGGTCTTGTGTGGAAGTCAAGCAATTACCTGAAGCTTAGAGTGGTTGTACATCCAGCGAAAGGCAGCTGAAGTTAGGCTGGGAGGGTTAGAGTCATAAGCCTCCCTTAATGCTTTCTCTATCAGGGCAATGGCTTGGAAATGGGGCTCCTTCCAGTATCTGTAGCAAAGGAGACATTCATGAAACATTCATTTTACTGACTCAGCTGTCTCTGGCTACCTCTTATGCAGAGACAATGATCCATACTGCAGGCAAGAGAACAAAAGTGCTTTCCTGTCTCCAAAAGGTCAAGGCTAGTGCCTGGTAGGGATGTAAAATCCCATTTAATTAGTTAACCAGTTAAATGTTATGTTTAACTGGTTAACCAATTAGAAGGGATGCAGGAGGGGTCACTAGGGCGTGCCCTGCCAGTCATGCACAGCAGACTGAGACTACTCTGGCCAGGCTGGAGCACCACCCCCCCGCCCCCCACTGATGGACCCCACAGAGTTGGAGCAGCCCCCTGCCTGCAGCAGCCAGGGGCTTGCTCCAGCCCCCACCAGTCAATCAGTTAATCATTCACATCCCTAGTGCCTGGACTATTGTATGTACCCAACACAGCCTTGATGCTTATGCTACCCAAATGGTTTTTGGATGATCAAAAAGAACCTCCCCTGGGATCAGAGCTGTTGTAGTCACTGTTTAGCGAACATGTTGCCAGTAGAGGTTTGAAACTCAACAACTTAATTTGCTGATATAGCATGTAATTTTTTAAGCTAATATCAAGTCTATAGATTTAGCAAACATGTTCACAGCAGCCCTCTTATGCCCCTGCATCCTTTCCAGATACCAGACATTAGAGTGCTAAGGATGCACTGGACATGAGGGCTAGCTTACAAAACCAGACTTCCTTTTGCTGTTCTTGTAGGCTTTTCACAAAAGCCACTTTGCAAACATTAGCTTCAGCCTCCTGTAAGGGAGATCAATATCCCCCATTTCAAAAACAGCTAATTCAAGTCATTTGTGCAAAGCCCCAGAGCAAGTCAGTGGCAAATCTGGTACTAGACCATAGAAAGGTCCCATTCCCCGTCCTCTGCTGTAACCAAGCCACCACACTCGTTCTCTTTATAATCATGAAACCATCCCTCTGTTTAACAAACTCCTACCATCCTCGTGCTGCGGGAAGAGTATAAGCGTTGTTCAGCACTAACACCTTCCTGGGGGCAAAAATCCCTGAACAGACTTTAGCCATGTGTATTTTCTCCTACATCTTCACTTTGATTTTATCTAGGTGGAACCAAAGCTGAAGGAAAGGTCCCTCTCTCTGCAGTTCTACCATCTGGACACATACCTGTCCCTGTAGACCTGCGCCCAATCGTTCCCAAAAAACCTGCCAGTCGGTTGGCGTGCTTCTTTGTCATCATACTTGTACTTCCCTGTCAGCAGCCCTCCTGCAATGGTTCAATAACATGCTATGGTTAGGGGCGAGGTGCTTGTGTTGGGTGGGATTTTACAACCTGCAAAAAGTGCTGTATGCCCCGGGACCTCCTACAATTCTGCACACAGGGCCTCTGGTTACAGTACGGGCATCAGCCAGGATGGGACGTGGCAAGAGGAACTGAACCAAATGCAAGCTGTAAAAACTCCCCCTGGCCAGCTCTGACCAGCAGGAGCCCTTGCTGGTGAGTAGGGGGACCCCCTACCCCTGTAAGAGCCCTGCTAAGGCAAGAGGGGATTTGTGGCATCAAGGCACTTGAGTCAATACAGCTTCATTTTTCTTCCTGTAAAAAAAACCTTATGAATCCACTGCTGGGGAAAGACGCCAGCTTAGCAACCCTGGAAACATGTAGGCTGTGTCTACACTGGCCACTTATTTCGGAAAATCAGCCGCTTTTTCGGAATAACTTGCCAGCTGTCTACACTGGCCCCTTGAATTTCTGGAAAAGCACCAACGATCTATTGTAAAATCATCAGTGCTTTTCCGGAAAAACTATGCTGCTCCCGTTTGGGCAAAAGTCTTTTTCCGAAAGACTGTTCTGGAAAAGGGCCAGTGTAGACAGCACAGTAGTGTTTTCCGCAAAAAAGCCCCGATCGCGAAAATGACGATCGGGGCTTTTTTGCGGAAAAGCGCGTCTAGATTGGCCACGGACGCTTTTCCGGAAAAAGTGCTTTTGCGGAAAAGCATCCTGCCGATGTAGACGTGCTTTTTCTGGAAATGCTTAAAACGGAACAGTTTTCTGTTATAAGTATTTCCGGAAAAGGGTGCCAGTGTAGACGTAGCCGTACAGCATGAGTAGCCTATGGCTGTAAAGGACCAGCTTTCATGGCCCAATTCAGTCCTTCATCTCTGCTGACAGGATGATCGTACGGGTGACATACAGGTAAACTAGGAAATGGATGGAGATCAACTCACCGCTCAGGTGACAGCTACTTCCAGCTGCCACTCAACTGGTTTGGATTCAAGCTGATGACCTACAGGTAGGGTCTGTCCCATGAACCACAAAGTCACCCTAACCCCACTGTTACTGCTAGTGGTGGCCGTTTTGCTGAAGTAGAGAAACCTTATTCAGAGGGGGGTCAGGCCAATTTCCAGCCTATTTTTGTTGTTGGGTTCAGGTCTCCCCACAAGCCCGTTCCATTTTAGCAGGCCCTTCCTCCTCACCCTTGCCCAGCTCATACCGGCCAAAGGATTGTAGGCATAGAACCGCATCCCATAGTGTCTAAGGCACGGCAGCAGTTCAGTTTCCACTTGGCGAGTGGTTGCATTATACATGCCCTGTAACAAATAAGAGCGCTTAGAACTTCACAGTGAGGCCTGGTTAGCTTATGGGCTGCTAATGCAAGAGGAAAGGCTCACTCACTCGATGATGAGAATCCAGACCAGACTAGGGATGTTACGTATCAGTTAATTGAGTTGTTGATTAACCTCATGAATTTTTATCAGTCAACTATTCTATAGTCCCCACAGGTGGGGCCAGCAGCCAATGCGCTCCAGCCCCACTCCCGAGGAGCCCCCTGCCACTCTGAGCTGCTGCTTCTGTATTCAAGACAGCAGCGCAGGGTGCCAGGTAGGAGCTGGTCCGCGAGGGGAGACAGTTTAAAAACCAGCTCCCCTCAAGGACCAGCTGATACGGAGGCAGCAGCACAGGGTGGCAGCAGCCCCTGTCCAGCCTGAGCTCCCGGATCCAGCATGAGCTGGAACTGAGCCAGGCTGCCTGCCCACCTGGCTCCTAACACACTTTGAATGCAGAGCAGCAGTGGACGTAGGTCCCAGACCCAGCGTGAGCCAGGAATGAGCCAAGCAGCTGGCCAGCCCACTAAAAAAATTGTTTGGGGGGAGGGGGGATGCATGTTAGTCTATAGCATTAACCTATAAGCTTTTGCTTATCTATTAATCAGTAAATCGACTACACTATTCCCAGACTAGTAATGACTAGGGATGTAAATATCATAAATTGGTTAAATGATTACAATTATATTATTGAACCAGTTAACTGTTGGTGGACCAGTGCAAGGCAGTTAGGGCTGGGGCCCACCCCGTTCTATAGGGCAGGCATGGTGGGGGCTGCTCCAGGCCAAGCTGCCCATTGTGAATGCTGGGGTGGCTCTGGCAGGGCCATCTGCCCACCACGGCACAGCTGTGGCTGGGGTCCTGCCTGCCACCTTCACACAGCCAAGTCCCACCACCTGGCCTGATGCAGCTGGCCATCCACCAGGGTTTAGGAAAGGTCCGGTTAACCAGTTACCCGGTAAGCATTCTAGTAAGCCTAATGCTTACTGGGCAACTGGCTAAACTTGTACATTCCTAGTAGTGACCAATGTGGGTTGCCCTCTGATGTCTATTTGACCACCCATATGAAGTGGCTCAGTGAAGTTCTTAGTGACTGTTGCTACTGTTAGCCCCGTTTACCTACACTTTTGAAAAGCCAGTCACTGCCATACCCAGCCACACATCACCATGGATGCCTGTGGGAATTCAGCATAAAACCACACACAAATGTGAAGTCCCCACAACCAAACTGGACCTGATTTAGTAGTGATGTTGTCAAAGCCAAATGTTCGTAGGACAAATTAACATTCAGAAAAATCTGTTTCTGCTCTTCCTTTCACCTTGCCTTGTCTACTCTCCAGAGAGAAAGCCGAGTGCTCTGGATCTGAGCTCACGGCATTAACTGGACTGTGCCTTTTGTACAGGATTGCCAGCCATCAGTAAATTTACAGACAGTCTGTAAAAAATTAGCCAAAATTGGACATGTCCGTAAAGGCCGCACAAAAAATTTAGGTGTCCATACATTTCGTAAAAGTGCAATACATTTTCAAAAAACAGCAATTATTCTATAGCAATTAAATTTCTTCTGTGCTGCTTCAGCCATTTTACTGCGGAACACCAGAAATTGGACGTTTTAGTTTATTTGAACAACATATTATTCTTGTGATGTATGAATGACAACGATTACTTTTAACTTTTGGCCACTGATGTCGTCTTAATATAGTATAAAAATTATGTCCATAAAAAAATTTGTCTGTAAATTTTTCCCATTTTGTCTGTAAATGAAATTTCTGTGGGTTGGCAACCCTGCTTTTGTATAGGCAGGCAACTTCCCGTTAACCCCTTCCAAACATCCAGAAGAAACATGTGCCTCAGCATCAAGATCCTTTGCAGCAGTTATTTGCATATACCCAGACTGCCTCCCCTTAAGACCTATGATCTCTCTGCATTACATTCAAATCAACAATGCAAAATTCCAGTGGTGCAGCAACAGCCCTCTTTCTCCTGCTCCATGGACACAAGGAGTCAGGAGAAAGGACAGAGTGTCCCCCAGGTCACTAGAGATTGGTGCCCACTGAACAACACATTCAATTATTGTGAGTTTCATATCCAGGAAATTGCTGGAAATGGCAGACCGGTACCTGAGGAGTGACTTCAAATTTTCCTTTCTAATCACATTTGTCCAAAAAGGTCTTACCAGACTCAACATCTTTTAGTTCAGTGTTTGTACAGCAACTAGCACAATAGTATCCCAGTCAGAGAAAATGACTCCTAGGGCCTTCTACAATAAAGCAACAGTTTCGCAGGACCCATTGCAACAAGAATAAAAGTCTGAGAGTTATTTTGTCTTGTTTGGCCTTTCTAAACCACTTAGAGACCCTGCAGCACTGGTTTTTCCAGGAGCTGCCCTCAGTGGGTGCAACTTCATGACATCCTACTGAAGAAGGAGTAGCCACTGCTTGAAGAACACTGGGACAGGCCCCTCTGGCTCCAGGGCAGATAGAGGGCCAAGGGGAGCAGCAGTCTGAGGTATCCCAGGTGGACCATAGTAAATCTGCAACACTCACTTGATATACAGTTGGAAGCACCCAGTTGTTATATTTGCAGATGGTATAGATTTCTGCCACCTCCCAAGCTGCATAGTTCGACAGACCAAGTTCCTTAAACTTTCCCTGTAGAAGAATACCAAGACTATTTAATTGCAGTCTCTTGTGGATTGTTCTTAAGTACAGAGTTTAGAATTAACAAAATGAAGAGGACTATCAAATGATTTTAGTCTCCAAATTAGATTCCTGTTTTGCTCACTTCCTTTACCAACGAAGGATAAAGTTACAAGACCTAATAGGCATTAAAATGTTTCCCTTCTTTTGTTTGAATTAAAATGTACACCTTTTATAACCTCATTTCCCTACCAGTTAATGCTGAACACAGCACAGGACAATTTACACAGGAAACTTTAGAAATTCTGAAACTCATGAGATCTTATTTATGGTACTAAGTGAATCTCCTGGGGTATATCTAGACTACATGGCTCTGTTACCAGAGCCATGTAGATTAGTTTACTAGACATACTCAAATAAAGCCACGATTTAAATAATCGCTGCTTCATTTAAATTAAAATGGCTGCCGCGCTGTGCCGATCAGCTGTTTGTCGGCTCAGCGCTGTAGTCTGGATGCTCCGCGGTCGACATCAAAGGCATTTGTCGACCTCCGTATATCTAGACTACATGGCTCTGTTACCAGAGCCATGTAGATTAGTTTACTAGACATACTCAAATAAAGCCACGATTTAAATAATCGCTGCTTCATTTAAATTAAAATGGCTGCCGCGCTGTGCCGATCAGCTGTTTGTCGGCTCAGCGCTGTAGTCTGGATGCTCCGCGGTCGACATCAAAGGCATTTGTCGACCTCCCTAGTATGCCTCGTGGGATGAGGTTTACTGAGGAGGTCGACAAATGCCTTTGATGTCGACCGCAGAGTGTCCAGACTAGTGTGCTGAGCCGACAAACAGCTGATCAGCCATTTACCTTTCA